AATGCGCACGCGACGCCGAGACGCGCGGCGCGGGGCCAAGTGGCGGGGGAGGACAGCTGGAGGGATCCCCGTGGGCGTACGTGAGAATGGGCAGGGGGGGGGGCGCGGAAGTGGAAGGAGGAAAATAAAATAAGCGACGGGAATGGTTGTTGGCATGAGGATATGATGAGATGTTGAAAAGGGTAAAACGCATGTGGTCGGTACACAGAAAAAGTGACACATATAAAAATTGAGATACGTATTTTTTGTTGTTATCTGAAGTAATACGTTTAGAAAAAAATATGTTTGTAGTAAATATAGGAAGGAAGGTGGCATGAAACCCCATATAAATGGTATGGGATAAACGGCTCCACTCATATTAAAACCGTTCTCGTATCACGACAATTTATTAGATACATCATTTTTTCATTCTCCAGTGATATAGAGAAAAGGATGATCGAAATATTCCGCTCCAGGAAAGGGTTTCATAAGTGTTCTTGTCAAATTCGTTGTCAATAATGACTATGTTAAATTCTCAACCGCTCTAGGGAGATTGAAGAGTCAGAGGACATGAGATGCGGATAGGTCGCGAGAAGATGTGTGAATAGGGAGGACAACGTGGAATTGAAACGAGTTCAATAGAAAGAATTGGAATAGATGTTTTGAGGTGATATAGGTCACAGAAAAGGCTAAAAGGCATAGGGAAGATAGGGATTCTTAAATTTCTCTCGTGGATTCGGGGACTCGTAAGATTCATGTTGTTACATTTGTTCTGAATAATGATGTAGGCCTATTAATCACCTGATATCTACTTTAAAGCAGAAGAATATGAAGCCAAAGTGGGAATGGTAAGTTGAATAAACGTTACTAATATGTAATTTACAAATATTTGACATTTGCTCGTTACAATTCTTTGATCCAAGGAAATATATGACAAATATGAGGGTAAGACAATAAATATCTGCATTTAATGTTGGTTTTAACAATGTTACGTAATTTACAATGAAACAATTTTTCAACTTTCACATCATAATTTTCAATATATTATGGTCATCGTAACATCAGCTTTCCGATATCTTCAGAAAAAAAGATTTACGATTGGGTAGCAAGCCATGTGTATTATTCATACAAGTTTTCTTGAGCCTTCATTTTGTTAGATGAGAGAGGAGTTGGAGGGTTGATTATTTCGACAATATGACTTTAATTTCAAATCTTTAGATCACTTACCGATGAAAAAAGTTTCTGTTACATGGGTGAGAACATTTTTGGTAATTATATTTGGCAACAATGATCGTCGACTATTTATACGCAACTCAACTAATAATTAATAAAGGAGTGGGCAAAGATATTCCGGGAATCAAGAAAACGTGCAAGTATAATACACTGCTTCCTCACCTGGAGATAGGGGGCAGATATTCGGGCTCTGAAAGCAACTTTAAAGTGGTCCAAACAGACCTGACAAGACTCAAACCGAATCTGGGATGCTCTGACACCTCCAAATACAGCTTTCGAAAAACGTAGGTGGCTACGCGATGTCTTGCAAAAACAGAATGTCCTTCGATAACTCATTGCGGCATTCTCACATGCAGAACAAATAATGATTGAGAATTACGAAATATTGTTTTTTTTGTCCAAACGGAGATGTCTCTCTCGTCTCGCTTACGTCGCAGCAAACATTATGTGTTAACACTGGAACTTATCACAACCAAAGTGAACGATGTCATCTTAAGGCTAGTAAGTGCAGAAAGCTGTCCTGTCATCCTGCAGACGATTCAAACATATGTGCAGATACTTATTGACTTACTTCTGTATCTACTAAACGTGGAACATAAGTTATTGTTTCATATTTCTGATTTAACTCACTATTTCAGCTCTCTACAGAGTTTGCGACAAGACGAGGGATGTCGCGTGAAATGGTGGAGGGAAGAGGGCGGCTGGCAGCAGGGAGACCGCAATGCGGGGCTACGGGACTGACTGTCGTGGAAACGAGAGTGATAGAGATCAATAAAATGAGAGGGAGAAGTTCAGACGTACAACAAATATATGTAGAAGGAGCGGTTCACGAGATTTGATTTTAGGGAATTGCATTCATAGAAGTCAAACTTGTGAATGATTTGTCTTCATTTTCATCCTCTTTGATTTGTCTATTAATATAATATGTGTGTTTCTGATTTCACAATTGCAATAAAAGATCACCAGATTTCCATCTAAAATCAATTTCATCGGTAAAATTTGACTTCTGGAAAATGGCATCGCTTCTGGGATATGGTCGAATAAACCGGCCTGTTATATTCAATAGCACGCAGGGATCTTTATAATTGTTTTATTAATTATTGGGAAAGTTTATCGTGGACTTTTCGAAGAACCAATTGGGGTTTCCGTATGTAAGCGCCACAACATTGAAATTTGAAAGCAGGGAAGAGGGGCTCTGAATGCTCTGTGAAGAATAGAAAGAGAATAGAGGTAGATGAGGCGTACATGAGATTATTGGAATTACAGAAGTAGGTAGAATAAAACGTGAGCAGACTGCTTATGAATCGAAATTAGGGTAGGGAGTGAAATAGAAATACGAATAGAAAACCTTAAAGGAATTAAAACGAAGTGATCATTGCGAAGAAAAAGAAAGAGACAAGGATTGGGACGTGTATCAGGTCTTCTTGTTTCAGGAAATAATAGAATCGATCAGAATTTCTTACACAAAAATATTCTTAATGAAAAATCCAATTGATTTGCTGTACGAAAGAGTTAAGCCACGCTGGTTACGCAAATTTGAGATGGAACATATTGAAAAAATCGCCTGTACCTTGAGCATAGAAAAATGACTCAAGGGAAAGAAGGCCAGAGAGAAAATTGCCTTATCATAAAACTTTAAGTCACAGCGAAGTAGAGAAATAGCCACGAGAAGAGAGAAAACGCAAGACAATCTAGGAGGAACGTATCGGGAGAGAATAGAAACCGCGAATCTCGTTGCGATGCAGGATCTCAATGGGAACTTAATGGTAGCTCCGAAGTAACAGTCATGTGCCAGGAGCAGGAGCAACCTGGGGCGCAGGCAGGCAGGGGTTGCGGTGAGTGGGAGCGACAGAA